CCTGTTTGAGAGAGAACATAATTGCATCCTAGAAACAGCGTGTAGCTCCCACTCATGATCATGATGGTGACCATGTATTAAAGCCAGTCATTACTCGGAGTATTTCACATGTACTATTTCATAGAACTTTCACCCATGCAGCTGTTTGGTAGGTACTACTGTCATTCCCATTTTACAGAGGAGAAAAATGAAACATAAAAGGGTAAATAACTTACCCAATACCACACACTGTCTGCTCATGATACACAGAGATTTCCTCATTCAGGCAATAGGAGCCCAGAACCTGTTTTCTAAGTCCCTAGGCCTCTGGCATCATTTCAACGTCAAGTCTTAATCAAAAACGGGTAAGCAAAATGCAAAGGACAATATTCTAAAGCAGAAGGGCAGTGAGTCTGAGCGCATATGCATGGCTGCTTTAACCCATGACTCTGGTCCCAGCCTCCTTTCCTAAAGGTTCTAACCTTCCATATTAATTTTCCTAATTACATGCTGAGAATGGCAGCCATGGTTATTACTGCAATTTCAGTTTGTAGAGGAGGCCATTAAGATGATCAAGAACTTGGCAAAAGCAGACCACAAAATCTGGAAGGATTTTTTTTTTAAGATGAACTTATTAAAAAGGAAATAACTAACTGGTTTAAAGAAGAAAGACTAGAAAAGAAAAATGGAGAAATATCGGGAACCAGCAGTTAGCATAATGGCTATGTCGCTGGACTCCCACGTAGTCGACCACGGTTCGTGTCCTGGACCTGGTGGCTTAAAACTCACGCCGGGAGCGTGTGCGTGCGTGCCCAGGATCCCGAGAGGAGAATGGAGGAGAAGGGATTACGGTGTGACCATCCCTTCTGGGGGGTGATTTCTTGCTTTCTGTCTCTAGGTCTCTGTCTGTCTGTCTGGCGAGCACATGCGCCCTATAGCGAAAACCTCTCCAAAAAAAAAAAAAAGGAGAAATATCAGGGTTTGTCTCTTATGATTTTCACACGAAGGAAAATAAAATGTTATTTGCGATATTGATATGAGAGAGATGAACAGAAGAAAATTAGAAAATTGGCATCTTCGATATTGGAATAAATTCAAAATTGTCTTTGCAATGTGATGAAAGGACTCCTGAAGACCTGGGTTCCAGAAAGAGCCTTGCCTTTCTTGAGCTACTCTCATTGACAAATGATTTATTCACTCATTCGACAAATGCCTGTTGAGCACTAACTATGTGCCTGTGTTTTTCTAAATGTGGCAAATGGAATGATAAATAATACCAGATCTAGCCATTCCTCTCATGGTGATTTACAGCATCAGCAAATTTTTTCACAAGGGGACCAGTAATAAGTATGTTAGACTTTGCAGGATATAGGCCTCTATCACAACTGTTCTGCAGGGCAGGGCAAAAGGGGTCACGGGCTCCTCAGAAACAGGTGGGCACAGCTGTGTGTTCCAATAACACTTCAAAACGAATGGATGGCAGACTTAATTCAGTTGGCACACTGTAGTTTGCCAACCCTGGTCTGGAGAAAAAAACAAACAGGAACCAAAGAGTTATGCATATGATAAATGTGCAAATGCCCTATGGCAAGAAGACACAAAGTTTTAGAGGGACTGACGGAAGGGCAATGGACAGCTGCTGAGGAAGTGAGGGAGTGTCATGTGAGTGAGTCTGGGCAGGGAAAGGGCAGACCAGCAGGCTCTGGAAGATACTGAGGATTTTAGTCTGTTCCATACTAACAACTGGCTGTCACTGGATTAGTTTAGTTTAAGCAAGATGGCAACACGATCCGATTTGAGTTTCAAAGATCACTCACTGCAGTGTGTAAAATGAATTGGATTACATTCCACCATCTCATAAAGACGGCTCTCCTTGCCCGAAAGGTAATCGTGGTGAATAAATCACACGAGGTGCATAGAAGTGTTTTGTAAACTATGGGTGATGTAGAAAATCAAGCTGACACTTTAGAGGAAGCAGTGCAACCAGAGGTCCTGTTCTTTCGAATTTTTCTCTATGAACAACAGCAGTTGGAACTCATGAAAGAAATCCTTTTGTTTATGTGATCAGGCTTCCTTCACCAGGGTAACTACTCCTTAGGGTGTTCACTGAAGAGAAGGAACTTCTCTCACTCTCACAGTCTTGCTCCTCTCCTCTCCCAAGCAGGCTGGGTTGCTGTCTGGAGTCGAGACCTGACTCCAAACACAGGACGATTTGCGAAGCATAAGAGTATCCCAAGAATGAGATGGATTCACCTGAGAAACAGGATAAAGAGAATTTAGTGGGTGAGTTCTTCTTCTCTGCAAAGTAGGTGTTGTAGTGTTACAAGGAGTTCTGGAGTAAGAGGATCCTTACTGAGATTGGCTTCCATTTCATGTAGAACCCAAGATTTGGGATTCGTTGCATACTGTTTTTATTTGCTTCTTGAACAGTCTATAACTTGCTTTTTTTTTCCCTTCAGTTTTAGATTAGCATTTATATTTATCTTTGCATTCATTGTTTTAACATTAGTTAGAAAAGGCATTCTGAAGAGGCTGACTTTTCTCCATCTTTTTTATCTGATGATGCTATGGTTAAAAAGAAAAGTCGATTCAAGCTGCATCATGTTTAATACACGGAGAGAAGTTGAGAAAAATAAAACAGTTCGTGTGTACCAACTACTGCTCTTAATCCTAATGGCAATTGTGTATTACAAAGCATCTTGCTCGCATTCTATTTTTAAATCATATGATAATTTGAGTAGATCCTCTTATAAGTTTATAAATATAAAAACTGAGTCTTGGAGAGTTTAACACCATGTGGAAGGTACAGAAAATAAAGATGGCGATGTTTGCGTGCGTATGCGTGCACGCATGCCCATGCGACCTAACCCGTGTTCTCTATCTCATGTTGTCAAAGTAGTCATGGTACAAGTGAGAAGGAGAGGACACGTTTGGCGTTATTCACTTGAAAAAGAAATGTACCAATTAAGGTAGTGTGACCTGAATTAGAAAATAAACTTTTCTCTTGTAGTTGTCATAGCAACACTTTATGCTGGAGGCAGCAAATATCATTTGGAAATTACAGTAGATGGTCTCTTCAAGAGTACCCTTCCTTACCCTTTGAAACAAAAAGCTTAGTGCATATGTTAGTTTCTGTTTTAGCAGTGGACATCAGCTGGGTAGATGTCGTGACTTAGAAGCTGTGTCAGTGGTGAGACGGTTGGAAGTGGTCATGAGGTATCTTGTTTTTAATTTTACTTTTTATTTTACTTCATTTATTTTGTAAAGAATTATTTTATTTTACTTTATTTATTTTAATTTGACCAGAGAGGGACACAGAGAGAGAGAAAGTGAAAAAGCAAGCTGCCAGGTCTGGGAAAAGAAGCAGTCAGTCATGTAGGAGTCCAGTGCCCTTAATCCCCACGCCACCTGCCAGCCCCTATTGTTTAAAATTAGTTAATTAATTTATTTTTTAGAGATTTTTGCACTAGGGCACATGAACTCACCAGAGAAACAGAACGAGAGAGACAGAAAGTGAGAAATCACCCCCCGGGGGGGATGGCCACAAACAATCTCTTCTCCTCCATTCTTCTCTCAGGATTTTTGGTACACATGCACATGAGTCTGACATGAGTTTTAAGCTGCAGCTTTGAACTGCTGTCTACTACGTGGGAGTCTAGAAACACAATCATTATGCCATTTGCTGATCCCTACTTTTTATTTTTTTTTTTAATATAATGAACAACTCATTATTAAAGAAGAGAGCTCTGGCTACTTTACAACTTCAAATTTTATATACTTTCAGAGTTCTTTCTTGTACTTTTGGCATTTTTCTTTTTCTTTCCAGTGTGTGTGTGTGTGTGTATGTGCACACGCTCATCAGAGAGAGACAGAGAGGAGAAGGGGAAGCATCTCCCATGGGGAAGGTCATGCAGAAATCCCCTTTCCTCCATCTCACCAGCCAGTTGGGGTTTGAGACACTCACACACGTTTCTCAAGCCCCTGGAGCTGGTGTTAGGATGATGATGGACTGTGTGGGGTCTGATTTCCTTAACCACTAGGCTTTGGGGCCAGCCTGCTTTTGGCAGTTTTTGATAAATGCAATACTAATCACTCTCAGAGTTGTGGAATAAGTTTGCCCTTTATCCTCCTCCAACTTGGATAAATTAATAAGACCCGAGTTCTTTAAGCAGTACAAAAATTGCCATTCAGAAATGGGGAGGGAATGAAATGAATAACTGAGTCCATATCATCACCTCCAGCAGGAGTCTGACAGCTGTGTGCTGATGGCATGTACCAGCTTTCAAAGGCCACTTGTGTTCATCTAATCCTACCCGAAGTTCATGGCATCACAAGAGTAGATCAGAATCACTTTGATGGGTGGGTACTTATACCATGGCAAGGCTATAAATTAGGGGTTTGTCTTCCAGAGAACCAGGTATTAAACATTTGCTAGCATACCACTACTTACTAGTTTTTTATAATATCTTTTTTTTTTTGAGAGATTTTCGCTATAGGGCACGTGCGCTCGCCAGACAGAGAGAGACATAGAGACAGAAAGCAAGAAATCACCCCCCGGGGGGATGGTCACGCCGCAATCCTTTCTCCTTCATTCTCCTCTTGGGATCTTGGGCACGCACACACACGCACCTGGCGTGAGTTTTAAGCCACTGGGTCCAGGATGTGAACCGCGGTCGACTACGTGGGAGTCCAGCAACATAGCCATTACGCCAACTGCAGGTTCCCTATAATATTTTTTTTATTCTTCCTTTTTAAAAGTTAAAATAGGAACCAGCGGGTGGCGTAGTGGTTAAGATACTGGATTCCCACATGGCCAGCTTGATGCTCACGCCAGGCACATCTGCGTGCATGCCCAAAATGCTGAAAGGAGAATGGAGGAGAAGGAATTGCTGTGTGGCTGTCTCTCCTAGGGGGTGATTTCTCACCTTTTCTCTCTCTCTGTCTCATTCTGTTTCTCTGGCAAGCACATGAGCACTATAGTAAAAAAAAAAAAAAAAAAAAAAAAAAAAAAAAAAAAAGGTGAAAGAAATGGGACAAGCAGGTGGCATAGTGGTTGAGGATCTGCACTCCCACATGGCTGATCATGGTTCGAGTCTTGAACCCAGCAGCTTGAAAATCACACCAGGCATATGTGTGTGTGCACCCAAAAATTCTGAGAGGAGAATGGAGGAGAAGGAATTGTGGCATATTTCCCCTGGGAGATGATTTCTCATTTTTTTTTCTCTCTGTCTCTGTCTCTCGCTGGTGAACACATGCACCCTATGGCAAAAACATAAAAAAAAAAAAAGGTTAAAATAAAGTTAATTGGAATGTTATCTTATAAATCTTTGATATTCTTCTGAACAACAATATGCAAAAGAGTATTCCTAGGGAGCTTGTTCAAACTCAGATTTCTGGTCCCTATCCCCAAAAGTTCTGTCTTGCTCTGGTTTGAGATTTTTCATTGGAACAACCAAAGTGAGGCTTGTAAAGCTGCCAGACTGAGAAACAATTTGAGTAGCCCTTTATTTCTTTTCAGCAATTCTGCACCTTCCTGAAAAGAGTTCCTTGACGCAAGATGTGTGCATATTTTAGAGAAAAAGGCAAGAGGCAAGATGAATGATAGGTGATGCAAGGATTATGTTTACCCCTGGGTTTTCCTTTAGAATTTCTATGTGATGCTCGAAGTCTTTGATTCTCTAGAGAAAGGACCAGGACACTGCTACAGTCCTAGTTCACTAACTATCTTCACAGAGCTGGAGGTGAGTAGAAAAGGAATTGTTGACACTCACCCCCTCGTCCAGGAAAGGTGATAATTTTCACTCTGCACACCTTTTCATTTTCTCCTGGGAAGCTTTTGGCCTTTCCTACTAAAGACACAAAGAACTTTAATTATATTTAAAATTTACTTTAAAAAAATTTACTAGAGGGCATGTGTGGTTGCCAGAGAGAAGCAGAGAGAGAGAGAGGTAGAAAGAGAAAGCACTCCTCATGGGACACGGTTATGCCACAACCTCTTCTCTATTTTCCCTCTTTTTGGGATATTAGGCACATACACACACCTGGTGTGTGTGTGTGTGTTTTTTTTTTTTTTTTTTTTTTG